AAATCTAGACCGGATGGCAAGTGACAGTCTCCGGGTGTAAACAGATAGATAATGGCTTAAAGAAGGCCAAACAGGCTCAAATTGTGATCAAACTACTCGATATATGACCCTAAAAAGATCAAAATGTAACAAAAAGAACGCTATATATTACAAATATAGCTCAAACTGTGAAAAAAAACAGCTAGACCGAAAGACTTCCCAAAATATGACACGAACATTTCAGTATATCAACAAAAGTTTAACTGAAAATATGACAAAAACAACTCAGTTACCCAAATTTTAGCTCCAAATGTGACAAAAACATCTAAACCTTGACAAAAGAGCTCGATATTTTGAAGAGAAATTGCTCAGAAATTGACATAATCATATAATAAAAATGCGATATTGTCGATTCAAAAAGGAGACAATAGAAAATAAAACGTCAAAAAAAGAAAATTGATGTTTTTTTTTTACAGCAACTGTCTGTTAATAGACTCTTCCAAAAAACTGGATGCTCCTAAAGTAACACAGAGTTTCTTCCAGGCATCTCCCCCCCCCCCCACCTCATCCCCGAAGAAAGTCTACCGCCCCCCCCTCCCCCCCAACTAAATGGAATTTATATACAAAATATATACTTTTACCAGTGTCCACCCCATTCCCCCCCCCCCCCCCCCCCGGAGAAAAAAATTCTGGAAGAAACACTGAACACAATAGTGTAGGGTTAGATCTAACACATGAGCTAATGTTGACATCATCATTATCTTTTTTTCCGCCTGAGCCCAAGACACATGGAGCAGATGAAGTAGAGTTCATCTGTTTCAATGACCTCGGCGTACAAGCGGGTAGTGTGGTCAGCACTATGCGCAGCCGCCTGTGTTTCGCTAACGTGAGTTAGGTACCCATCAGTGCTGGGTGGACTCAGGGGCGGTCTTTAACCTGGAGACATTCGAGTTAGCAGTCTAGCGCTCTACCGCTAGGCCACGTCCCTCCTAATGTAGTCGTAGTGATGCTTACTTTGTTTTTATTCGGCTAACAACCAAACACTCCTTTATTTGACGCATTCATACACAGCCCAAAGGTGGTTTAGAAAATGGCCGAGAAACCTCGTTTTGGTGTTCGGAAAAATGTGACACAACTTGCGTCAGAAGTGAAATTAACATCTGCAAAAGTGACATGAACACCTCAAGCTGAAATTTTTTTAAACATTACTTTTTTTTTTTTTTTACAAAAATTCATGGATGCAATTCTTTTGCTCAAACCATTGGGAAAAAAAAACGTTGAAAGGAAATTATTTTACAATAAAGTTATGACATTCTTTTCCGCATCTTCCAAAAAAAAAAAAAATCCTAAAAAAAAAATCAAAATAAAATAAACCACTGTGCTCCACCGTGTTCTTTTGCCACCGTGCTCCACTGCCACCGTGCTCCACTGCCAGGCTCGTAGCCCTCAGCACGAACGCAAAAATCTTACTCGCCAGATGGCGCGCGAACCTCTGATTCCCACGGACTTGCAGACGACATTCCATCAACCGCCCCGTTCCTTTCTTCCCCCACCCCCCACCTCACCATATATACTTCTCTCTTCCACACAACCAATTGTTTTATCTTTTTTTTTTTGGTGTGGGGGGGTGGGGGTGAATATTTCTAGAACTGACTACATTCTATCTAAACAATATCCGCTACAATCTTTTTTTGTTTTAATTTTTTCAATGTTTTTTTTTTTTTACACGAACCACATACAGTCATTCCTGCGCAGTTACACGCTGTTAGGTCCCTTGCAGCATCCTG